AATGACAGCTAATATAAAGGTTTATAAGAAATTGCAATTATTGTATTTGATAATAATTAAACAAAAGAACAAGAGTTAATGATTATTACCCAAATGTAAAGGTCTATTTCCGGCAATGTCTGCTTCCGCATTAACATTTGCGCCATGTTCAATTAATAGTTTAACACAATCATTATGTCCACCAGCACAAGCGAAATATAAAGCCTTTCTCGTCTGCACTATTAACATCGGGTTGCGGAGTAAAAGTAGAAAGTAATTTAATAACTGCATGAAAGAAATTATTAAATGAATTAATAAAGTCCTGAAGACGGTACCATGGCAAAACTAATTGAGATTAACGATCTCTGATTTCTAAAATAAAGCAAGCAAAGCTACTGGTACCGGTATTACAATCACCATGCGCAGAAGCCTCCCTTAGCCTCTCTTCCCTTAATTCAAGCTCAATAGCAACTTTTACTTTTGCATGAGTTATACCATGATGCTTTGTTTTTTCATTACATATATGGGATGAATAAAAAGTTTCTGAACATATACTTTTTTTAATCGTTACATACTCTTTATGATTATTTTAATATTTATACTAATATGTATATAAATACAAAAACAAATAAATAAATATATGTATAAAATTAAATACATAATAGTGAATATAGTGAAGAATCGAAATTTTTTACATACCTGATATAATCATACTTTTATTCATAATGTTGTAAAGAATGTTAATTCTATATATAGTCAGACCTCTCTAAGTGTATACCTGTGAAACTACACTTTAATAATGTGCATAGAGAGAATAAGAAAAAGTGCGTTTATGAGGTTAAGTATATATTTGGGCCGACACTTGAGTGTGCATTGAAACGGTGTGCACTTATAGAGGGCGCACTTAGAGAGATCTGACTGTATTTGCTACAAAATTGAACCTATAAGTTGTTAAAAGCTTCTATTTTGGATAAAAATAACTTATTAGCTTGTAACTTACGTAAATATTACTTACTTTTAGAATCAGTAACTTTTTAATGCTTAACAAGTGTTCGATGCCAAAAATTTTTAATTCTTTATATATAAATTTTATTGTGTAACCATAGCTGTATGACATTAGTTATAATAATTATAAACCAAGTTGTGTAACATCAAGTTGGTCCTCCATTAATTTTACTATCTCCTAGATAGTACTAAAGATAATTAGTCTCCAACTCTTATATAAAATATAAATCTGTATAACATCTAAATATTTTTATTATAGTATCAAGCTTAGCTAACGAAGATCGTCTTATGCTTCAAAAGACAATAACTAGCCTTAAGCTAGCTTATAAAACTAAAAATACAATATCTCATATTGAAGAATAAATACAGAATCTTGTTCAAATCATAACAGGTACCAATGACGATAATGACGTTCATCAGAAAATTTTTTATATAGATACATATTGATATATAGCAAAACATCAATATATATCGATAAGATAAAAACGGCATTTATCGATAATTTAGGATATATAACGATAT